CAAGGGCTTAAATACTGAGGGCAGGGAGTGGGGGGTGTCTGTATGTGGGTTTATTTTATGGAAAAATACTAGAAAAAATATATATGTGTGTGTGTGTATCACAAAATATTAATAGTTATTAGCTCTGGATGGAGAATTGTGGATGATTTTAATTTAAAATTATTATTATTTTCTTTTCTGTATGTTCTAACCTTCCTACAGTTGTGATTTGTGTTTTAAAAAGAAAAATAAAGGAAGAAAGTCTTTCTTCCCTGGGCGTTTTCCCTTTACTCTGCCAGCCTGAGATGTGCTAGGAGGAATTTGGAGGTCCCTCGGGAGAGGAGAAGGATGGCTCAGGACAGGGGTTCAGGTAGCGGGGTGTGCCCCCTCTCAACCTTGCCCACCCAGGCTTGCCGGGAGTTGCCGAAGGCTGTTCCCCAGACACCCATAAATGTCTCGTAACTGTAACCTGTGGCAGCCGAGACAAGAAATGCCAATGCAGCAGCCCAGCTTATTTAGAGGGACCAGGGTGGGGGCAGGGGGCGAGACAAGGCCGCTGTGGAGGGGCTAGTGGGGAGGCCTTTCCTCTGACAGCCAGAGCCATTTGGATGAAGTGCGGCTCCCCAGGGCTCCCTGCTCAGCCTGCCCACAGGCCCCACTGCAGGAGACAAGCAGGGGTGTGGGAAGCTGGCAGGGGCATGGGTGGTGGCCAGGGGTGGAAGTAGTTACAGACCTGGTCCTGGGAGGATGCCTGCCCCAGGTGCCAAGGCTGCCTGGCCTAGGGGTTAAACACTGAGCACTGAAGTCAGGCCTCCTTGGATTCAACTCCTTTCTCTGCTTCTTAGCAACTGTGACCTCGGGCAAGTCACTTCCCTTCGCCAAGCCTCCATTTCCCCTCCTGGAGCCGTGGTGCTTGACCTGGGGTGATTTTGCCCCCATTTCTGCCATATCTGGAGGCACTTTTGATTGTCACCACTAGGGTGGCGGGGAGGTTCCTACCGGCATCTAGTGGGTAGAGGCCAGGGATAACGTTAACCACTCTACAATGTCCCCCACAGCAAACAATGATCCAGCCCCCAGTGTCAATGGCTTGGAGGTTGAGAACCCTTGACCTAGGGTGATGGCGAAGGTTGAAAGCGATCATGCATGAACAGTACCTGAACTCATTAACCATAGCTAGTATTATCCCAGCTGTGAAATGGGAACATTCTCCCCTTTGCCTCTCAGAATCAGGCGTCAAAACACGAGCTCTTGGGACAAGGGAGGCTGGCCTATGAGTTTGGCTCTACTAACCTTGTTTTCTCCTTCTTTCTGCAACCTGAAAGATGTCAGAGTTTTCCAAACAGCCACTGGCCACTTTCTCTCCACCCTCCGGCAGAGGTCAGGGCCTGAGCAGAGTCCCCAGGGACTGGGGCTGTCACTCTGATTTACAGCACTGTCCACCTCTCCGGCCCTCGCTCCACAAAGACTACACCCAGGGAAGCTGACACAGCGCTGGCTGGGCTGAGAGGTCAGGGAGGATGGGGCGGATGTCCACCGAGGCCCCTCTCCTCCAGGAGCCCGCAGGAGTCTTGGGCCTTCCAGAGACACACCCAAGTGATGTAAAGGGATGTGTGTGGAGGAGAAGTATAAAAAAATGAAGCCTCTCCTTAGCTTCTTCTAGCAAGGACTAGCCCCCAGGAGTCAATCAGAACACAAGGAACCATGTGGTCTTGCGTGTTAATGTGTGTGTGTGTGTGTATTGTGACTCTAGCTGATACCAACCCATTGCTGTCAAGTCAATTTCGGCTCATGCGACCCTATAGGACAGAGTAGAACTGCCCCAGAGGGTTTCCAAGGAGCAGTTGGTAGATTTGAACTGCCGACCTTTTGGTTAGCAGCTGAGCTCTTTAACCACTACTTCACCAAGGACTCCTTTATTTTTTCTTTTTTAAAATTTATTTACTTTTGTGTTTTATTGTTTGTTTATTGTTTGCTGTCAAGTTGATTCTGACTCATAGCGATCCTATAAGACAGAGTAGAACTGCCTCAGGATTTCCTAGGCTGAAATCTTTATGAGAGCATATCACCAGGCCTTTTCTCCCGTGGGTTCAAACCACCCACCTTTTGGTTAGCAGCTGAGCGCTTAACCATTGGGCCACCAGGACTCCTATTTATTTATTAGGAACTCTATATCTTTAAGTATTTTGATGATTAGAGGGAAGGTGACTATTGTTTACAAGCCACGGCCAGTGTTTGTGTTTCTCTAGAGGTGGGTTTAAGTTAGCCTACCCCTCTACTCTGGTCATTTGAAGGTCCTGTTCTGGAAAGAGGTGGTTCAGGACAGTGGGGCCCTGAGCTCCTCAGCCTGAAGGACAGAGTGTTGTAACATGGGGGCTGCGGACCAGAGGGAAGAGTTTTAGTCTCTCTCCAGGCCTCAGTAGACTCAGGGCACCTGGTCGCTCGCTCAGAGGAATTACCGTAAGTCAAGAATTGGTAAGTCTACACATAACAGAAAACCCAAATTCCAGTGTTCTAACTACATCAAGGTTTATTTTTTCCACACATTAAGAAGTGCAGAGGTGGACAACCAGGGCTGGTGCTCCTGGCTATGCTAGATCCTCGGAAAGGCAGCTTCTCCCTTCCCAGCTCCACCATACTCAGGATTGCAAAATGACTCCTGCCCATCCTACTTCCTATATGAGTGCAAACCAAGGGGAGGGACAAGAGAGAAAAGCCAAGGCCAAAACTTGGCCAAGTGAGGCTTTGTGGAGGGCAAGAGGAGGGGAGGTTTTTAAGGAACTTTCATTGGCCAGAACTGTGTCACGTGGCCACCCCATCCACAAGGACTCCTGGAGATGTGTTTTACTTCAGCTGGGTACTTTGAGCCTCTCTAATGGGGTTCTGTTAGTAAGGAAGAAGGTGAGGATGGAGACTGGGGAATCCAGGGGGTCCTAACAGAAGGCACTTCCTCTGGGGACTGGGCGTGACCCCTGCAATCTGGTGGTGGGGTTGGGAGCTGAGACAAGCCAGTGGGAGGGATGACTGGCTTTGAGATGCTGTGTGTCATATTTAATATCCAGTTGTATCTTCCCCCTCCTTCTCTGTTGTAATCTCGTTATGTCCAATGTCAAGTTTTGTAAAATTGATTTAGCTTTGCTCTGGGGACTTGAGGGAGGAGCCCAGGTCTAAACTTTCCAGCCCGGAAAGAGTGTCTGCAGCTGACAGAAACCAGCGCAAGAGGGAAACGGCAGGTAGGAGTTGTAGGAGTAACCAGGAAGCAGGACACGGGTCCATAGGGCTGGAAATCTTCGCCAGCCTGCTCAGAAGTAAGTAGATGGGGAGGGGAACCCAGAACTTCTCAAAGTCAAGCAGGGGGAGGTGCACCCCGAGTGCTGGAGACACTAAGTAGGGCTGGAGAGATGCACGGGTCCCTAACCTAGCGAAGTGCCTCGGTTGATGAAGAATCCTCAGATTCTTAGGAACGTCTACGCACAACTCCCCAGTTGTCTTCCCTCCCCGGATTTTCAGAAGGGAAAGGAAAAGGGGAGGGTGGTCTGCTGTAGATCTTTGCATTATCCACCTCTGTGGGCATGCACCTGTCTTGGGAATCTCTGGCCAGCAGGGGGCTCTGGGGGGAGGCAGAGACAGAAGAAAGGCAAATACGGGAATCTGAAATCGGACTTGAGGCTGATATTATACAGCTTGATATTGGACTAGAGGCTAAGGGGCCAGCAAGTCTGTGATGACACATCCATCCTGGGCGGCCACTAAGACAGATTCATAAATCAGAGCAGCAGATTCCAACTCTATAGAATGCAGCAACAATGTCAGTGTCCAGAATGGATGTGATTTTAAATTTTAGGACAGCTGAAGGAAAGTGCCAATGAACCCTGGATCTTTTTTTTTAGGGAAAGGGGTCACATGGGGAGACAACCTTGCAATTTCGGAAAGCTTCTAACATGTGGTTCACTAGCAGGGCCACACCTGGCCAAGGGGTGAGAGAAGTCTGTTAGCCAAGCCCTGGGGCAGGGCCAGGCATGCTGGGAAGAGCGCTGCCTGTTTTAATTCACAGAAATTCCACCCGCGGAAGTGATGGCCCTAGTAGTGAAATAGTTTCTTTAAGGCTGTATTGTAGGTTCCTCTTTAAACCCCAAACCTACCCAGTGTCCAGGAATACAAAAAGAAAACAGGCCTTGGAGGCAGCAATGAACAGACTCTTTACTCTGTCAGATTATATACCATCAACTGCCCCATGGTGACCAGCGTTCCCACCCATGGGTCCTCCTTATAGGGGACAGTTAATACAAACAAAAATAGTTCTCTACAAAATAAAGTTTCCAACCCTCCCAACACGCCTTCCTCCCCTCCTCCCCAGACAGTGAGTTCCTTGGCCACCAAACTTCACTGGGGCCGGGGAGGGTGGGGGGGCGGGTGGGTTGCAAAGGAAAACAAGGAAGACTATAAAAGAGAATCAAGTCAGCGACTAGAGTTGTAGGCAACTGGAGTTGCAGGTCCTCTGGCTGATGGTAAGCCAGGGATAGGCGCAGGGGTGTCTGCAACAGTCGTGTGTGTGTGTTTGTGTGTTTGTGTGTGTGTGTGTGTGTGAGAGAGAGAGAGAGACAGAGAGAGAGAGAGAGAGACAGAGAGAGGCAGGACCTGGGGGCGTTGGGGTAGGCAGCATTTCTCCCCACCCCTCACCGCCAGCAAAAAAAAAACAAAAAAAAGAAGAAAGAAAAAAAGTAAAGGGCTGGGGTAATAGAAAAACTAAAACCAAAACTATAGGCCGCGGGGGGCCAGGGCTCCACAGCGCCCTCTACTGCGGAGGGAGGGCAGTGCCGAGGCGGGGGCAGGTGCCACTGAGGAGGGAGGAAAGAGGGGCGGAGGACTCTGCTGAATAGCACCTGGGAGCAGCTCGGGCCGCACCCTTCTCGCCGCCCGGCCTCCCTCGGACGCCGGCCTTCGCGGTCCCCGGGCCCCAGGGCCGCCGGCTGTCGGGCACAGGGCGCGGCCCGGCGCGTGGACGGGCCTCCACGGCTGAGGTCCTTCGAGCGGGCTCAGCAGCCCAGGCGGGCGGCCAGCCCCAGCAGCAGCAGGCAGCTGAGCAGGGTGGCGGGGCGCGGGGCGGCCCCCGGCGCGCGGTCGCAGTCCAGGCCGCCGTCTTCGTCGGCGGGGTCGCAGCGGGGTTGCTCGCAGTACACGCCAGTGTAGCCGCGGGGGCAGGCGCAGCGCTGGTTCTGCAAGCAGGTGCCGCCATTCTGGCAGAGCAGCTGGTCGTCGTCGCACACGTTGGCTGCGGAGCAGGGGAAAGGGGAGTTAACGCGAGTGGGCCCTGCTTCACCCCCACATCGGACGCTTCTCTGACTAGGGCGTGCGAAAAGTCCCTTCTCGGATGGTAACAAGGACTGGGCGTGACCTGGCCACTGACTTGGCTCTCCCCGCTCCCGCCCTACTGGCCTTGGTGCAGCTCTTCAGACGCACCTGCCCTTTCGTCTCCAGAGATTGGTACATGTTATTCCATGTGCCCAGAGCGCCCTTCCACCCTCTTCCCCTGGCTAACGCCTACTTGTCCTGGTCTCCGCTAGTCCATCATTTCCTGGGACAACTTACCTCCCAACCTGCAAACCATTCCCACCGGGCATAGACCTTACTCTTCTTCCATCAGGCCCCGCCCACCAGCTCGGACCCCGCCCCGCCTGCAGGGCTCCGCCCATCGAACCGGGCTCCCGGCCGGGCAGCATCAGGCCCCGCCCTGGACCCCGCCCGCTGGCCCCGGACCCCGCCCCCAGCAGCCTCAGGCCCCACTTCCGGCCTCAAACAGGTGGGGCGGGCGTGCACTCACGGTAGCAGCCTTGGCGCCAGAAGTGCGTGGGGAGGCAGTCGTCGCACTTGGGCCCCGCCGAGCCCTCGCGACACTCGCAGAAGCCCGTCTCGTTGCACCGGTCGTGCACGGAGCCGATCTGGTTACAGTTACACTCTGGACGGACACGCGCACGGGCGCGTGGTCAGGGCGACCTGGGGTGCCTTCTGCACACATCGTTACCCCACCCCTCCCCCATCCCTCCTGAGTCTTCAGATTCCGGGGCGGTGGGCCCCACACCGTGTCCGCGGGGCTCGCGGGCTGGACGGCGGATGGAGGCTGCCTAGGGTGGCCAGATTTCGAGGCTATGTTAATAAGCCTGTCTTACTTTCCCAGCATCCTCCACCCCACGCCCCAGCCCTAGCCCTGGCGCTGTGTGGCCTGGGCCAGCCACTTCCCCTCCCTGGGCCTCCGCAGCTGCGACGGAAGGAGACGCAGATCCTTCCCAGCTCCAAAAAGCTATGACTGTCAGGCAGGAGGCGCCCTTATCAGAGGCTATCAGGCATTTGCCCAGGGGCTGTGGTGTGTGTGTGGGGTGGGGGGTGTGTGTGGGGGTGTGTAGCGTAGCTCACATCTATAGCTCCTGGCCAGGGCGGGGTTGGGGAACAGCCCCAGGGCCTTCAGCCCTTTCCCCAGTTGGTTTCTTTGGGCCGCTACTCTGTGGGAGAAGGCTAATGTCCCCTACTCTGAGTCTACCGCTGAGTGCGGGGCCTGAGGGTGGAAGTGGGGTGGAGGCTGAAGGAGGCTGGGAGAGGAAGGGGCTGGGGGAGGGGCACTTCTAATGGGATCCAAAGGCCCGGCCCTGTTCATGCAGCTGACCCCCTGTGATGTAGGAAGCACAGTTCCATTATGAACCCTTTAGAGTTGATGGAATTATCTGAAGGCGGCAGCCATAATACAGACTGACAGCTGCAGCCTCGTGGGCAGACCTTCCTCTTGAAGCCAGAGCCTGCTGGGTGGGTGGGGGATGGGCAACGGGTTACCAGGGGGCTGGCTGGGCACCTGGAGGCAGCCCCTGGGGCTGAAGCCTGGTTTCTACAGAGACAGGGCCTGAGGTGGTGGGCAACCCTTCCAGGCTGGTAGGGTGGAGGTTGGGTTTGGCCCTTCTGGGATGGTCTTCCCCATGCATGAGTGCACAGGTCCCCCATACTTCCTTCACTGCCCCAAAAGCCGGTCCTGGAGCCAGAGCTCGAAGAAAATGGACCAGGTGCCTACCAGGGGGGGAGGGCAGTTTTATAAGCTGGACCTCTGCTTATAAAGCATTTGAAAAATTTTATATTAAGAAAAGGGTCGGCCACAAAAAAAGAAAACAGAAATCCTTTGATCTGGTCCACTTCTGATTTTACAAATGAGGGACTGAGGCCCAGAGAGGAGAAGATGACTTGCCCAAATGCACACAGCAAGGCAAGCTCTAGAATCCAGCCTTTGACTCTCTTTATCTAGTGGTTCTGAAACTCCAGTGCCTGTGGGAGAACCAGTGCATCGGGAGGTTACTGACAGAGCCAGTTCCAAAGCTTCAGCCCCCAGCTGCAGTGGGCTCTGGAATCAGAATTTCCACAGCCTCCCCAGGTGATGCTGATGCAGGGAGTCTCCAAAGCACACCTGTCACTGCTCTACCAGCCCTCCAACCTGGGCATATTTGGGCACATTTGTGTGATGTGTCTGCACACAGGAGACGAGGCCCTCCCACCTGCCCGCCCCCAGCAGGCCGCCCTTGCTCCCCGGCTCACCAATGCAGACGTTCTCGTCGTCCAGCTCTGCGGAGGCGTTGCGGTAATAGCCCAGTCGGCAGTGCTGGCAGTGCTGGCCACGCGTGTTGTGTTTGCAGCTGACGCAGGTCACCACGTTCAGGAAGTCGATGTAGCTGCAGCGGTTGGAGTGGCCGTAGCACTCACAGTCTGGGCCGGGCCGAGCGGGAGGAACACTGAGGGTCAGCGAGCGTGGGGAGATGGTGCCTTCCTGTTTCTACCTCCCTCCCAACACCACCCCTGGGGTGTATTTGGGGAAACTGAGGCACAGGCAAAGAAGGAGCTGCCCAAGGACACACAGGGAGGCAGGTGTTTTTAGAAAAGCATCTGGCACAGGAAGGTGCCCTGGGCCTCCAACATGCCTGTCATTTGAAAAGACACTGGGGTCTGCCAGCTTTGAGGCCAAAAGAGAACCAGTTCTAGAACCACAAATTTCCATCTGCCCCTGTGGGCAATGAACGACAGAGGGCCAGTGGGCAGCACCTCCTAAAGGTCTGGCCAGGTGCAGGGCAGAGTGCTCTCTGAAGGATGCACGAGAGCAGGGTGACTGAGAGATGATTCATGTAAGGACAGAGCCATGCCACCAGACGGGAAGCTCAGTGAGGGAGGTGCCAGGACTCAACGCCCTCACCCTTGTATCCTCAGTGGTTAAGTGGATGGAAAAATGAATGCATGAGTGCTGGACAGGATGAGATGGACCAGGAGGAGCTTCCTCCCCATGCTGCTTTGGAAGATGGTGGGAAGGAAAAGCCCCCACCTGCAGGACCCTTTCCCATTGGCCTGAGCTGTTTCACAGGTTTGGTTGGCACCAGAGGGCCTACTGACCAGGGCCTGCCCTCGCATGACTCCAAAAGTGGGTGCCTCCTTAAGGTAGGCCCCTGAGCGCCCTTGCATGCCTCCCCTAGTCCTGGCCCTCCTGCTGACTCTCAGTGCTTCCAGAGGCACGAGGCTCCACACTGAGGGCAACCATCTCTGTGATGTCCTGCATCTCCACCCAGGTGGTTCTCAGACTCACCCTGCCAGACTGGCTCTGCTTCATGGACTGGGCAAGTCCTAGGACTGCCTGTCACAAGGCTCCCAGGGATTGGGGTGGTTCCCATGACATCATGAAGGGGTGGGGTTTGGTGAGGAGGGTCACCTCATGTCCTTTTCCCTGCTGCAAGAAGGGGGGCCATTCCTAAGGGATGCAACACTCCTCAGAGCAAAAAGGCCAGTGTGGGTGCCCCTGAACAAGAAAGGTACTACTATCTGCGTATCTGTAGGGGATCCAACCTCCCTGTTGTGACAGGAGAGGGAAGGACTGACCCAGGCCTTGGTGACCAAGGGCATGGGAAGCTTTGGAGAAACAGCTGTTGACATGTGCCCAGCAGGAGATGTGGGCGTTCCTGCACCACTGGGCCTCTTGGGCCTGCCCCCTTCACCTTGTCCCTCCGGAGACACTGAGAAGGTGGAACATCCTCCAGTTGTCTGAAGGAGCGGTGGCAGTGACCCCCGTGTCCCAAATCCTGCCTTCCACCAAGATGAGCCCCTGGGCCACACCTCCCAGGGGAGCCAGTTCAGGCTATTTCTGGCAGCTGCTCTCCCTACCCTGTGGCCTGCCCACTGAGCTTCTGACTCATACCTGCTCCCAGCTCCCTTGGGGAGGGATGGCTGGAGGGAAGAGAGGCTCGGTTTAACCTTGACCCAGCTACTCTGGGAGGGTTTTCTGAGCCAGGCATTGATCCTCCTCCCATACCTTTTTTGCACCAGTGGAGGTGGAGAGAGAGATGCTTTGGGGAGGGCTGATCCTGCCCCAGGACTTCCTCTTACCTTGAAATTCTTCAATAGGCATCACTTGAGGAGATTTGGGCTTGAGCTGGAAAAGTTTGGAGACCTTGGCAGGGGCAGGGACAGCGGCAGAGGTGCCCACAGCTTGGAGAGATGAGAAACAAGCTTTTTCATCAGCCATAGTCCATTTGCCCAGGGTGGGATAGCTGGGCCCAGGGAAAAGCCCAGCAAAGGTCAAGGTGCCTGTTATGGGTTGAATTGTGTCCCCCAAAAACATGTGTTGTAAATCCTAACCTCTATGCCTGTGGTAAGGAGCGCTGGTGGTGCAGTGGTTAAGCACTTTGCTGCTAATCAAACAGTCAGCAGTTTGAACCCACTAGCCGCTCTGCAGGAGAAAGATGTGGCAGTCTGCTTCCATGAAGATTACAGCCTAGGAAATCCTATGGGGCAGTTCTACTCTGTCCTATAGGGTTGCTGTGAGTCAGAATCTACTTCATGGCAATGGGTTTGGTTTTTGGTTTATGCCTGTGGTTATATAATCCCATTTGGGAATGGGTTGTCTTTGTTATGTTAATGAGACAGGGTTAGTGTAGGGTGTGTTTTGAGTCAATCTCTTTTGAGATATAAAGGAGCTTAAACAAGCGAGAGAAGCAGAGACTGGGGGAGACACATGCCAACCCACATGAAAATGGCCCAGGAGCAGAAGCTCAGAAGAGATAAGGACCTTCCTTCAGAGCTGACAGAGGAAGCACCCCGAATTCGGACTTCTAGCCTCCTAAACTGAGAGAAAATAAATTTCTGTTTGTTAAAGCCACCCACTTGTGTTATTTCTGTTATAGCACTAGATAGCTAAGACAGTGCCCTGAGCAAGCTTTGGGGCAGTCCTGTCACCCGCTCAGATTTGAAGAAGGGAGTGGCTTGGCCTCGGAGCACATGACCCTCAGATCAGGAGCCAGGTCCCTCTCAGAGCCTACAGAAGCCAGGAGTCTGAGTACCTTTGTTGATGGTGACCCAGCACATCCACACGGAGCAAGCCTTGCCTTTGGTCCCTGTCTCCGCCAATACCATCTACACATCTGGCTGGGTTAATCCTCCCAAATTACATCTCTATCCCCCAACATGCCCTGCACTGTGCTAAGAACTTAGCTGAGGCTGAACAACCTTTTGACTGAAAACATCCCTTCTACTCTTGCTGTCTGCTCTTCTCTCCAAACTTGCTTGCACATCAAGTCCAAAGTCTGAACCTGGCTTTAAAGGGTTTAGCATCGTCCTTCCCTTCTGAAGCAACCTTCCGGCTCTAGCCAAGCTTGACTCCTTTTTCATTCATGGATTCCCCAGTCCCAGGTGCTCTCAAGCCATGAGCGTGGATGGGTGCCTGCCTTTCGCTTCCCAGAATTCCATCGGGTCCCCAGCCCCATACTTGTGGGTGAGAATTTCACTGTGCCAGGGCGTCATCTCCCTGGCTTCCCACTGGGAGCCTGTGGTGCCCTGGTCTGGGGTGCCCCAGTGCCTGGTGCGATGGCTCCAGTCGGCTCTACCTGTCTCCATCATCAGGTTGCTGGGAAATGCAGACTCTTGACAATTATCGTCCCAGCTTGAAAATCACTTGCCAGCAGAGGGTGCTCAAAGCCCTGCTGACTGCTCATAGCTGAGGCCGGAGGGGGGACTTGAGGTGCTGGGGAAGGATAAGGCAGGGAGAGGTTGCTGCCTAAGCCAGGGCATTAGAACCTAATGCCCAGGCAACAGGTGAGTTGGGGCTAGTGACAACCTCTCAGCCCAACTTGAGAGGCAGGCAGGCCCTGTGTGTTTCCTGCGTGTATCCATCTCTGGCTACAAACGAGCCCACACATGTCTCCTCCCATCGGCTGTGAAAGGACCAGGCTCTCAGCTTGGTAGTCAAGGCCTTCCAGGGATACTCATGCCCTTTCTGACCTCATCTACACCAGCGCCTCTTCTACTTTGTCGGCCGGCTCCTCACTGCAATCCCACCTACACCCCCCCACCCCCACCACCCC